CATTGACTACAAAGTCTTTGAAGATCTGGAAAGATTCACCAAAAACCAAACTAGTTTTTTAGTGACCAAATAAACAGCAATGTTCAGATCATTTACTTATTCATGTTTTAAATAAAGGTGAATGTATTATTGTATTAATATCACTCTATAACCATAATACGTTACATAGTCTATCTGTTAATTTTGGCTGTCTTTTTCAAACTAATATGGTCCCAACGTCCTCTACAGTGGACATACTGTAACATTTACAAATAAAATAAAATAAAGAAAGTCTAAATTGCAAGATGTTTTTTTTAACCCTAAATAGGTAGGAAATCACCAAAAAAAGGAAATTGGAAGACACTTCTTTTTCCTCGGGTCCCAGGAGGATATGTTTATGCCATGTGTACAGTAAGTACTATGGCAAATACTATGTCATTTTCTCTGATATTTTCGACATACTATAGTATACTATGTCATTTTTTCGGATATGTTCGATAAACTATATTATGTCTTTTTTTAAAACATATTTTCGACATATTATTCTATGTCGTCTTTTAAATATTTTCAAAATACTATACTTTGTCGTATTTTCTGACATGTCGTTTCTTTTACATATTTTCGACAAATTAAGTTGTTTTTTTCCAATATTTTCGACATACTTTGTGGTTTTTATGATATGTTCAACATACTATACTGTCCTATATCGCTTTTTTTAATACTTCATATGTCTTATGAGGAGGTGATATTTTTGACATATTTTATCTTCTAATTAAAGGCGTTCATGGTAGATGTCTGGATTTCTATAATAAATAACACACCTGGATCTTGCGCCAGCCGTTGCGTGCTCTGATGAACAGCTCTCCTCCTTTCTCAGACACATAGGCCAATGTTCCCTCTGCAGCGCGATGAGTCTCTCTGCCTAGAGCGTTGCTCGTCTTATAAACAGTCATCTGAAATTCACAAAATCACAGCATAAACCTGGCAATATTATTTTCTTTTTTTACAATACAGATACCTTTTTCTGGACATTTATCATATCCTGCCATATTTAGACATTTCATTATAGATAAGGCACAAATGGCTTGTTTAGGTGTCGTACCGCGTTGGCATTTCCTGGAGATCCTGTCGGGCCTTGGGGACCGGGGGGGCCAGGGACACTGGCACCTGATCATGACATGTCAGAAATGCATTAACAGATACAACAACAACAACAACATTCAGCCTCCTGTAATAACTGACAATGATTAATTTGATGGAAACAAGCCGAGGTCACCATCTTTCTCTCGCCTTTACATATACACATACCTGATCCATATCCAGATGCAGGTCCTGGGGGTCCAGCAGGGCCAGGGGGCCCTCCGGGGCCAGGTCGTCCAAACCCAGGAGCTCCAGGCTCGCCCACAGGACCAACAGGTCCATGAGTTCCCACGATAGACTCACCTTTGGGACCCTACAGAAACATTTGAAACAAGATTTTAACTAAAATATATTCAACGGGAGTGAACTCGCAACATTAGCAAAGTTCATCCGTGTCGATTATAACCAATTATCCCAATACTTAAATAATAACTTATTGGAACATTATTTTCAGGATGTAGTTTAATGCAAATAGAACTCACCACAAGTCCTGACCTGCCAGGCAGTCCAGGAGGACCAGGCAGACCGCCGTCACCCTTGTCTCCCTTCTGACCTTGGTATCCCTTATCACCTCTAGCACCCTGAGAGACAAACGTACATTACATCAAAATCCAGGGTTCACCCAGGTTAGCAAGATATAAAAAGCCAGTTCCTTTAACCTACATTATCTCTAATAGCCTGTATATCTGTTGGATAGAAATCTATAAGAAAACACCTTTTAGTGTATTAAATTAGTTATGAGGATGGCCATAAATAAAAATACAAGCTCAAATAGTCAGAAATGCTGAGAATTATTGTAGAGTCAGGTTATAATTATCTGTGGTTTGGCACTGCTAGGATTCCAATTCCCATTTATTAAATTCATTGTTAATATGAACATATTCATGACATGATCATTTAGTCTTCTAACATAGCTCCAGATTGTATGATGAATCAGCACTCACCACAACTCCATCTGGAAACTCGGGTGCTGAGAAGAGAAATTATGAAACATAAGTGATACACATTCAGGTAGTCATTTACCATTAAAATATATTTTTTAAATGAGATTTCTGTTGCGAAGGTCTTACCAGGTGTCCCTGGTTCTCCAGGTATTCCTATATCTCCTTTGTTTCCTTTAGCTCCGACTGAGTCTCTCGCTGTACCTGACTGCTACACACACAAACATACACCCTTAACATAACAAGGATACCAGTGACGACATTTCAACTTTTTTTAACATCTGTAAAGAATGCTTAGGGAGGTAAAATATAGGCCTTAATCAAAGCAAAAAAAGACAAAACACTGATGTCAATAGTTAAAACTTTGCTGTCAACACGGCAACAACACAAGGGATCAGGGGATGCATGCTTGAGACAGCAGCACAAACAACCCTCTGCAGTGGCAGTTAAGATACAACAAAGTTAGGGAACAGGGTTAAATCAGGTTTATTTATGACAAAGTTCTACATTTATAAATGATGGTGAACTTTTCATGTTTTATCAGGGGAGACTGTTTTTAACAGTAGGTTAATCATTAATTAATTTACAGATAACCTTTTGTAACTCTCTGTTTTGATAGGAAGAGTGACAATGATAGGAAGTGAGAGATTTTATTTGTTCATGACTGTTGCTTTTTAAATTCAAATAATCAGTCAATAAAATGTTATTGAGATTCTAAATGTATAGAATACATTTAATATTTTTAGCAGCATGATTCTGTTACGACATAAACTCATCAGTCAGGTCAACATTTTGAAATGAATGTTCATACAGTTATGAAGGAAACCGTCACCACACCAAAAACCTCAAAAAGGACGCCATTCACCAAGTTCCCTCTTTGTTTGCCTTGTCTCTCCGGAAAGGACAGACAAGGCAAGAAGGATTTAGAGTCAGACCCACTTTGAAACCCGGCATTAACATTTTTCATTTTGGATTTCACCAAAAATCTTAATGAACCCAAAAAAGCACCAAAGATTGTGGACTTTAATCTAACATTTGTTGCATGTAACATCCAATATTAGCATCCAACAACAAATGCGTGTACTGTAGGTAAGACAGTGAAATACATGTCAAACTTCCTATGAGAGGAATGTTAACGCCTGATGAAATAAGGACAGAACCACAGACATTTATCCCTTTTAAGGACCATTAGGACAGAGAAAGGAGAGGAGCACATGAAGGGAGGTAAAGTAAGGGGGGAGGAATGGGGCAGAGAGCTGCCATGCTGCTACACCCACACAACAACAGAACCACCTCATTTTGAAATGAAACAGACCAATCAGATGGTCCGATTCAGACTTACTCGTCCCATTTTGCAGTGCGGTCTGGGGCGCACCGGAAACACTGTCTTTAAAATTCAAAGAAGAGCAGCGTCAACAGACTAAATTAGTCAGGTCCAATACTGTGCTAAAGATTAGCTTTAAAGAAAGGATTACAAAAAAATAAACACATACACAAACACTCAAATGATACCCATTGCTTTTAGAGAAATTCCAGTGAACCAAGGTCCTAATTTCTTTAATTCTAGTACACATTCACGGTCTCTTTGGAAGCCAAACCTGGTGTTTTTATGAAAGCATCAATAACAAAAAGTGTAGTGGATTTCTACCAATCAAACACATTTTTTGCACTTGTTTTTAAGGACCAGTGGGAAGGATTTAGTTGCATCTAGTGGTCAGGTTGCAGATTGTAACCTACAAAATAATCCTCTGCTCCCACCTCCCTTAACGTGTTATAGAATTTACAGTGTATTTCCATGTAACGCAGAAATGCTAAAGGTGATTATTCACTAATGTAAACATAGTAAAGGCTTGAATGTAAAGGCTTGAATGTAAAGGCTTGAATGTAAAGCCATTGCGGGGCTGCATAGCTTAATAATTCAAGTGTTGCCATAGCACGTCTTAGTCGTGTTTTGTGAGTTCACTTCGGCTTCTTTGCGTGGGATTGAATTGTATTGCTGTTATTACTGTTAAAAGTCTTCAATGTGCAACATGCAAACCTTTATAACAATTGTAACAATATAATGGCTGACCCAAAGCAAAAAGGTTCCAACGTCTTTACTTTTTTGTTATCTTATGCATATTTAACTCAAAAAAATATTTTTTTATAAATGTTTGTTCCATTTCATAAATCCCCATATATCCTACACACAGGTTCTTTGGAATATGCCTAACATGTATCTGTGAAACAAGCCTTTTAAAAACAAATTGAAATGTAAATTGTTGACTGTGCATCTTTATTGTCCCAATCAACCAACTCAAAACGGCAAATTAGAGAAATAAAAAGCCCAAATTGGAAACTTACTCCTTTCAGCCCAACTACTCTTCCTGGAAGTCCAGGCGGGCCCGGAGGACCCGGAGGTCCCTGAAAGAGAGAGAGAATATTATCACATTTGTGATACTGACCCATCTGAGTAATACATTAGGTATCTGTTTATCAAATGTTCAAATGCTTTATGGATTCAACAACAAGACAAATCTGATATTTTCTATCCTTTCCTCTTACCGATAGACCCACAGCATCTCCTTTGTCACCTTTCCTCCCAGGCATACCAGATCGTCCCTACGTGAACAGAAAAGAAAACTTATCAGTATTTATGAAACACACACACACACACACACACACACACACACACACACACACACACACACACACACACACACACACACAAAAGATTGTGCACGGTTTGAGCTGCAAAGCATGAGTTGATGACATCCTCCAGGTAAGAACTCTTTACAGACTATATAGAAGACTAGGGGAACATCACTCTTCTGGTTGGATGGTCATTTTCCTTTATTCAAGCATTGAAAGGTACTTACTGGGCGACCAGGAAAGCCATATTCTCCTTTTTGTCCATTTGGTCCTATCGGGCCCTGAAACAAACAGACAAAGTGATGTAAACAAAAATTAGATATATCACTAAGCACAGAAGTTTACAACAACAGAAATACATGGACGTGTGTATACTGTAGCTTGTCCTTAATTAAAATGTGTCACATGATACATTGTTAACTCACCATTAGTCCAGCAGGTCCAGAGAAACCACGGTCACCCTATGAATTCACAAAGCAGAACAGCAAAATGTGAAATGAGGAATTGGCATTGTGTTTACATCATTGGTTTCACTGACTGTAGGTATCTAGAATAAGTGAAAGGATTACTCCCATCAACCCAAACCCCCATAAGGTCCCTAAAAAGCAGAGATGCATTGTAGTTATTTGGTCTGAAGATCTAAAAGGAGTTAAGTTGCAGTGTCTTTAAAAAGCAAGAAAATTGGAGGCAATCGGTGTTGATTACATTTTTGATGGCCTCTGAAGTTTAAGGACTTACGACAACCACACAAACGCTACCATGTCTTGCTAATTGACTGTGCTGCTGATCAGTAGAAAATTGACATCAAATCACCAGTGTGCCTCTTTCAATGTGTGTGCTGACTGGCTGATGGACTGCTGTTGATATAGTGCTGTTTAGTTAGACTTCGACCAAATATATGTATAGTAGGGATAAGCGTGTAGGGCTAGCATGAGCAGCTACAGCATAAAAACAACTTCATCATCCTATGTCTTTGACCACTGTTAGTTACTGAGTAAGGTATGGTTTTAACAAATAGGGGTCAGGGGTCTCCTGTATGGTACCTTGAGGCCTTTCGGCCCATGGGGACCTCTTAGTGCTGATATGAGGGATCCATCAGCAGCAATGGTCACCCCTGGCTCCCCTTTCTCCCCCTGTTAGAGCAAAGAAACAAACACAAAATGTTTTCCAGTCCATTATGTTTCTGCATAAAATGTTCACACCTTTTCGACATTTTGAGATATTTACTCATATATCTTAATCCACATTCTGTATAGTTCTCACCTTGAGCCCTAATGGCCCCTGTACACCTGCAGGGCCTACGTCTCCCTTTGGTCCCCTTGGGCCCTGGAGAAGGAAGAAAGAGTGGTGAGTGAGTTAGGAGGTTGAGTGATGATGATGATGATACCGTTTTAAAGTAAGGTCCTTGGTGTGAAGCTTTATGAATTGTACAGTTGTTAAAATAAGTGTCATGATTTTTTTTGATTACCGAAGTGCTAAAACCTTCTGATATGTATTCTAAATGATGTGTCTTTGTGTCCTCAAAGGAAAACCCACCCTCTGAGGCAATAACATTTGCAACACTTTGGGTACCTACCCTGTTTAGCCCAAAGACAGCAAAAACCAAATTGGTAGAAAAACATGTTACATTACTATCCTATAATTTTAACATCTTTGTTTATGAATTGCAAAATACCCATGAAGACATTAATTTTAGACATTCAGAAGAAAGTTGCAAAATGGTCTTACAGGAAATCCTGCTCTGCCAGGCAAGCCTTCAGGGCCCTGCAACACGCAGACGAAACACAAACAAACAAACAAGCAACATGCACAAACATTAACACAGAGCCAAGTAAAAGCAGTAAGGCTGGGTTAACAACATGCTCATTCAGTACAAAACAGAAAAGCAGCCAAAGCACTTCAGACTGCATCAATGATGTTACGGTTAAGTTCTATCTCCTTGTCTTTAATAATGTCGTTTGTTCATGTTGCAAATGTGTGTTTGTTATCTATTAATGTAATAGCTGTTTTCTGTTTAGCATTTAAACATTTGTGCAGAAGGTAACATCTTAAAGATAGAAATAGCTCAGTTCTACGCACCACGGGCCCTGGTGGTCCTCTGATATCTGTGAAGTTGAAGATCCCATCTGTCATATTGAGCAGCAGCTGTAGACAGAACATACATATTAAGTAAAAGTGGGCATGTTGAACACATTTAGAGATTTGTAAAAGTCATTCAATAGGTTCTTTAGGAAGGACCACACCAACAACTTTACACCAGTATAGTTTCAAAACTATGGAGCCCAAGGGTCAAGTGGGTACAATAAATGTTTTGTTCAATAGCATTAAGTTAACAATTAACAGTTTAGAAAAACACCCTGCAGATAGAAAATAAAGATGATGACACTACATAGTACATATAACTATACAGTGGCAGAAATTATATTTACTCCTAAAAAAACTGTACTTAAATACAATTTCGAGGTAGTTAATTTTATTTCTTCATTTTATGCTACTTTACACTTTTATTTTGCTACATCTCAAAATAAATATTGTACTTTTTACTCCAATATATTTATCTGACAGCTCTATATTATACATACAAAATATAATTAAATTAATATATTTTGTTACTTAATTTTAGATTCAACTCGCAAGCAAAAGTTATAATTAGCTCAACCTTTATCATCTTAATCCAATGATAAAATATAAATTATTCAGATATGGTATGGCAAAATCTACTTTTGGTAATTTCAGTACAGTGTATTTGTGTGTGTGTGTGTGTGTGTGTGTGTGTGTGTGTGTGTGTGTGTGTGTGTGTGTGTGTGTGTGTGTGTGTGTGTGTGTGTGTATGTGTGTGTATGTGCGTACATCCGGCAGATTAATGGTTGGTCCAGGGGGTCCAGGAGGCCCAGGGGCTCCTGGGATACTGAGTCCATCAACACCTCGATCACCCTTCATAAGACAAAACAGACGGTTATCAGTCTGTTATCGAAATGTAATTGTGAAATAAAACTAGACCAGTTTGACATTTTGTTTTTTCAGCAACTCTACCTTGGATCCTAGATTTCCTTTTTCTCCTTTAGCCCCCTGTTTGTAGAATAAAGATAAATAAAGAAAACAAATGCATAAATGGGTTATCAACAAACTGCAGTGCATCATGCTTAAGGGTGATAGTTTGAATGTATTTAAATCATTTTGACTCTTCAGTCCTTGAATGGTGGGGGCTAGCTGTTTACCTTTACTTTGCGTTTGTATGCTAAGCTAACGCTAAACACGGCCTGGACATCTTTTATGAATCAGAAACATTTGTATTGCCAAGTGGGTTAACACCAGGGCCGGCCCTTGGCGTAGGCAGTATAGGCAATTGGTAAGGGCGCATCAATCTATGGGGGGCGCCAGAAATAAAAATAAAAAATAAAAAAAAGTTAGAAATTTAAAAAGAAATGTCTTTTTTTATTTCATAACAACACAATTTCTCGATTTTGGATCAACAAAGTACATCTTATTATCTTATACTAACAGAACTACGCCTATATTGCGTACAGCGGCAATAAACTATGGCGCACTCCCCTCCCCCCCCCAAAATCAAGTTGAACTGCCCCAGCCCCGGTATAAGCCAGAGGTTTATGTGAAATAGTTCTTTTTTTGAAATAATGGTTTTAGTGTGCAATTATAGGTTTTCATTTTGTATTTGTGTTTACATGATCATTATAGTTATAAAAAATATGAGAATAGATTTTCATCTATTCTCTTAAAGTATAAAATACTATATGACAGTAAAAAATTTTGTTATTAATAAACAAGAATACAGTTTAAACGGGGAATATCCATAAAGAAAAAAAAATCTGCTTACAGTTCTGTTTCATATTGATGTTGAGAGATGTATCCATAGATCTCTTCATGTTGCTCTCAAAGTGCACCAGATTGATGCTTTTAACTTCAACATTAAAAAAAAAAAAATCTTCCCGGGGGAGCATGCCCCGGACCCCCCTAGGGGAGGTTAGGTCCACCCCCCACTTAAATCATGTTCAAATGGATAGGATACTAAATACATTTTCACACATCTTGTGTCCATATCTTTCTGTTTTGGTGGTCATGCCACAACCGTGCACATGCATGCATGCGCAAGTCAAAGTGAGTGTCTGCGTTTTTTTGGGGGGGGTGCCAGCTAGAATCTTGCCTAGGGCAGCAAATTGGTCAGGGCCGGCCTTGGTTAACACAGACGAAGAGTTTTTGGTGCATACATAAAAATAGAACAGTGATAAAAAACGATTTAAAGAAAACTATAATAACATTACAATATAGCAATATTTACAATGAATATGGATGAAATATAGGACTGACAGTAGTAGGATGAACAAGATATTGTTATTGTTGAATTAGGCTTCAGAAAATTAACTGATGACTAGAAGTCCAAAACACACAAAATTACAAAAGCTCAGAAAAGCAAAGCAGTATTTGGATTTGTAATGATTATGTTTTATTATAACTTTAAAAAACACGTTTGTAAAAACATCCGCTACATACTCTGGCTCCTGGTAGTCCAGCAGGACCCTGGCGGCCCTCTGGTCCTTTGTCCCCGGGTTCACCCTGAAATCACAGCAAGGCAACACTTCTTCTTAGTGACGTTTACAACTAGATACTATACTTGTTTCTCTCATAGAATAGATCAAATGCTTTCCAATGGCATTTTTCACTGTATCATCATACTCAAACAATAAAAAGACTAAGAACAAAGGTAAATATTTCTGAAGCAGTGCCATTTCAGAATCAAATTACCTTGACGGAGAGCCCTGGTGCTCCTGTGGCTCCATCCTCACCCTACAGGAAAAACAAGAGGTACTGTTCAACTCCAGCGCAAAAGAAAATATTGCAGAGAGTAAGCAAGGGCAAAAATATTCACAGAGGAATCAGGCGTTAAATATTATTGGCTGTTCAAAATCTAAATTCCCTTAGCATGCATAAAGCGAGCAGACAATCCATTTTAAGGAATATATTACCTTAGTTCCTGTTGGACCATGTATACCAGGTGGACCCTGAAAAAAGAAAAAAAGAAAATACTTATTGTATATGAAACAATATACATAATTTAGATAAAAGTCTAGATCTTTTTAAATGATTTAAATAATACATGTTACCATTTAATAAAAAAATGACTAATGCAACAAAATAAACAAATATTCATACTTCCCATGTCTTCCCATTTTTAAGACTTTTTGAAGATTGAATAAAGACATTTTAATACCGAACAATGCCTTTTTTTTTTTTTACAATAATGAATTTTATTTATTTTAGGACTTTTTAAGCATCTGTAAGGAATCTCTTACCTGTGTGCCTCTGACTCCGGTTCCAATGAGCATGTCACTCTTCCCAGATCCTTCCATATCCTGAAACAGAAACACAGTCTGATGTTAAACATCAATTTAACTGAATTCTTTATCGACCCATGTGGCTCTTCTCTGACCTACATGAGGCGTTGTCTCTTCATTGTCTTATTAGTTAAAGTATGTTGTGGCTCGACAGTTAAGTTATGTTAAGTTAATTTATGTTTTCTAGTCTAGTCTTGTGTTTTTGATCTTGTCACTTCCTATTTTTATTTTGAAAGTAATCCTTCCCTCTCATTCCAGATCCCACACTGCCTTTGTGTGTTTCCCGCCCTTGAGATTGCTTGGCCTTGCCCTGATAGTTTTCACCTGTGCCCATCCCCCTCACCTATAAATAGCCCTTGTGTTTCTTTGTCCCTTGTCAGTTTGTTATGTTCCATGCTGTGAGAACCTGGCCCTTTGACTCCTGAACTTTATATTTAGAAAATACCTTTTGTCAAGTGAGTTTTGATTTTTGGAAAACCTTTTTCCCACTGGATGTATGATTTTGATTTTGTAGAAAATATTTTTTTTTCTACGTGTAATGAGACTTAATATCCGTTATTAAACTACTTTCTGTTTTTGGACAACTGTCTCCGAGTCCTGCATTTGGGTCCTGTGTCCTGTGCCTCAGTTCACGACAAAGTCGATCTATATGAATTGTATGCTTAGATCTTTGATTTGAAATAGGGTCACCTCTACAAAGAATTTGGTTGGCCAGGGAGGGCCAGGGGGTCCTGGGGGACCGGATGGGCCCCTCTGCCCCGGTGGTCCACTAGGTCCTGGAGCCCCTGAAGATCCATTTGTCCCCAGAGACCCGCATTCACCCTGCAGAGAGAAAAAGATATGTTGGGAATAAAATAAAATAGAAACAACCACAGCAAAGAATTTATTTTGTCTCTATGTACTCTGTGTATAGTCGTGTATTACCTTTGGTCCAGGTTGACCAGCTAACCCTTGTTCACCCTGAGGAAGTAAAAAAGAAAGAAATAAAGTATCACTTATTCTGATATCATAGCATCATTAGTAGAGGCCGTCCATTTATCATAACATATAGACGTAAACAAAACTATTAGATGTGTGTTGTAGAGCCAGTATATTACATTATAAGAGAAATTCTTGTATTCAGAATTGTATGTCAAATATCGGACTATCCACCTAATAAAAACTATCAAAACCATGGTCATTTGGCTGAGTCCAGCAGTGCCTTCATTTGTTAAAATAGTTTCTGAAGCAATAAAGACAACATGATTAGAGATCATGTACAATCATTAGCCTGAGCATTGAGGCAGTGAGCTAAAGTCATTGTTTTTGAGAGGCACAATTGAAAAAGAGCCTCATAAGTCCCTTGGCCTTTATTGTAGTTTACATTCATTTCATATATCCTTCATCAATTCTCAGGCTTTTGACTGTACTGTGTACAGTATAGTACATTATAAGAAAAATGCTTGTAATCAGAATTGTATGTCTTCCAAATATCTGACTATCTACCTAATTATATCATCTCAAAGTCATGGTGATTTTGGTCCAGCAGTGCCTTCATTTGGTAAAAATAGTTTCTGACTTTGATATGATACGGCGCACTGAGCTCCTATAAAACATACCTTCTCTCCCAAAGCTCCTGATAGGCCTGGACTGCCATCTTTTCCTGCTAGACCCTGGACATAGGAATACAGACAGACACGAGAAGAGGTAAAAAGCAGCGATAAGTCAGAGAAAGTATGGCAGTATATGAAAGAGTGATATGATGCCAAGCTGATTGTTGACCCTTTAGCCATTCCAAAAGGGACCAACGCCAAATCCAAATAATACAGCCTGTCAGTAAAGGAGTACTGGGTAACTTTCCTTTAGTGATGAGATCATCCATGCCAACATCTGTCTGACTCAGCTGAATCAGCCTTGTCTCCTTAAACTGTGATTCTCGTACAGAGAACTGTAATTTTAATTCAATGGGAACTAATTTTGTTCTGAATAACATTTTTATGGATAACAAATACAGTTTTTATCAAAGTGCATACAAGTCTTTTGAGAGGAGGCTTTGTTGGAAGGATGGGTGAAACAAACAAAGGAATTTGACTGTGTTAAACCAATAGTTAAGTTCAATTATTAAAATGTATGTCCGTGAGTTAAATGTAACAAATATACTTATTTTAACCCATACCATGATCTTTGCCTAGACCCAACTTTATAGGGATTTTTTAAGGTTTCGTTTTGATTTACAACTTTAATCACATTTAAAACTGCTACTGTAGTCTGTGAGAAGATATGTTATGACATTGTTTACATTTTAATTATTGAGAAAATCGTTTCAGGAGACATTGTTGACTTCAATATACCTCGCTCACACTTTAGTATAGAGAGTATTAGGAGATTGTTGACTTACTCGAGTCACAGTCAAGTTAGACCAACTGTATCATTTATCCAATTTTTCTTAGCACATTAAAGATAGAGAAGGTATTAATCAGTGGAGTCAGCAACTTTAGAGGGAAGGATGATGTCTGTATTTCTCATCACTTAAGGAAAATTGATATTGATAAAAATGCAATGTATTCCTTTAAGTAAGCAGCATCAGACCAAAGTACAGCAATGTTTTGCTCATCAAAAACGTGCATGGGGCACACGGTTTGAGCCATATACAATTAGGTTATTAGTTAATTTTACCAACTCAGTTTTAGATATTTTTGCAAGATCTGAGCACATCAGTGTACCTTGGTACTTGACTGAGAATAGCTAATATACGTACAGCAATATACAAAAAGGGGAAATAACACAGATCAGTGAAAAGGCAGATTTGCTCCAACACCATGTTGTCAGAAAAAAAAAGGCAGCTCAAGCTCAGGTTATACAGCACATTTGAGATCAGTTCCTTTCAGTTCAGAATGATACAACGCCGAAATGTTCCATGTGATAATGACAACATTTGAACTGAAAGGAAATGAATAGGAGGCAATTGACCAATTTCCAAAGCAGGTCACACAGGTTTTTCAGCAGTGGCTGCCAGTGGGAATTTCAAGGGGCAAAGGAAGCAGTGACACACGCACGCAGGCACGCACGCACGCACGCACGCACACACGCACACACGCACAAACACACACACACACACACCTCAGCCAGGTGAAAACAACATCCATTTAGCCAGCTGCCAGAAAGCAATAAAGACAACATGGTTGGAGATATTGCATAATCATTAGCCTGAGCATTGAGGCAGTCAGCTAAAGTTGTCATTAAACATGGCGTCATTGTTCTTGAGAGGCACAATTGAAAAAGAGCCCCATAATTGCCCCCCCTTTAATGTAGTCTACATTCATATCATACATCCTTCCTCAATTCTCAGGCTTTTGATTGTAGTTCTGCCTTTTATCGTTTGCAAACAAATACCTCGCCTGAACCCCAAGCAGACCCAAAGTCAAGCCCAGAACCGGACGCAAAGCCGGGATCAGAGCTGAACCCGGAGCTGAACCCAGAGCCGAGGTCAGAGGAAAACTCTGAGCTCAGTCCTGAAGCATCAGACCCAGAGCCACTAAACCAATCCTCATACATCTGGAACAAGGGTGGAGAGGAGGAAGAGGAGGAAGAAGGTGGAGAAGAAGATTGAGGAAGAAATATAGGTGAGGAGATATAGGAGGAAGGTAGAGGGTGATATCAGGGGGGTGACAGGAACAGAGGCAGAGGGAGGATAAAAGATACTCTCATCACATCATTGGCCAGGACACACATACACATTAAGAAGAAAGACAAATCATTGATAATAGAGACAGAGATACAGCAGCCTTACAAAGCATGTCAGCATGTGTTATGGATTCAAACTTTTAAATCACGCTATTCATTTGGCAATCATAAGAAATATATGAGTGACCTAGTGAGGTCAATTCAGTCTAGTCAAACTTGACAAGTGATAGATGTTAGATACCAGTCAGTGTAACCTTAAAGTGGACCTATCATGCTATATAATAATGATATAGTGTAGGACCATACCTATATAAAGGCATATTTATACTTTTTATTTTTCAAAATACCAAACAGATCATGCATTTTAGTCATTCCTCATTTCGCTCAATTTAACACTGTCTTTGCATGGGCTGATTCTGAGAGAACAGCACCATCTACAGGCCTGACATATGTAC